TGAAAATTCCATACATGTACCAAAAATACAGTGTGGAATCAAGCTGTAATCAAAAATAATAAAAAAAATTATCATGCTATCCAGTTCGTGTCGGAATCAGAGATGAACTCGGAATTGCATTTAGTGGATGTTTTGCTATAAAAGGAGATATGACGGCTCTCTTCAAAGATCAATTTACAGGAAACCAGCATAGTATGGTCAGTATGTGAGTCTGCATAGTTGGATGCATTTGAGAAGAAAGAGAAATCTGATCCGCTATTTATCCTCAAGAATAAGAAGGATATGTACCAGTGATACAATCGATGGCGAACTGGAGAGACTCAGATGAACTTCCATGGAAAATAGATATCCTTCAAGATTAATCGAGAGAAACATGAAAGTAAGGCAAAAACCCGGGAGAAACTGCTATTTATGAACGTTGAATTTTATAGTAATACAACAGCTGAGATTCTGAAGAACCACTCATGCAGATCACTGAGATAAGCCTTCTTTGCGGCTCAACTTGAGATCAGTTTCTACAGCCGGCAAATGATCAATAGATGTGTGAAGGATAAACTGCCGCTTTGGGCCACTTCAGGGTGTGTCTATAAATTCACCTGCTCCTGCAGAGCTAGCTATATTGACCGCACAAAGCGCACACTTTGCAAACGCATCTCTGAACATTACTCGGCAGGGTTAGCAAAAGGACAATGCGAGACTGTCACTAGCTCAATTCTCGAGCCCTTGGTGAACTCAAGCCGCGCAGCTCCACCAGAGTTGTTTTTCAAGACTATCTACAAGGTGGGGCCAAATGGTGCAAGAGTGTCTGGTCTAAGCATTTTGTATGGCAGAAGAATTGGCAATTCGTCAATACAACCCCGAACTCTGTATACAGAAGTTTGTCTCAACCTCTTAATGAATCGTTTCCTGTACGTTTTTTTTAAATGATTAATTTTACTTTAATAATTAATTTACTATTACCACTCTCACGTGTTGCTTTTGTACTTTTTCTCACCCTCTTCACACTCGTTAAATAGACACTCAACTACCTCTCTTCTCCTTCAATAACAATTTTAGCCTTATCATATTTCCAACGCTTTCTTCTTTTGTGCCTTTGAATATTACGTGATTTATAACTTTTAATTTTTACTTTCGAAGTCATTTCTGAGTAACAATATAAATTATGTAGCCCTTATTACTCAGTAAATGGACTACAATACATTACGATAGTGCAAAATTTCCTTCGCTGAATCTGTCTTTTATTTTCTTCATGACTCCTCAATGGGTATTTTCAGGAATTTGTAACAAATACTGAATTGCTTTTTTCTCTCAAACAGGCAGTTATTTAAAAACTTGTGTGATTACTATCCATAATCACTTTGGTTTATGACTAGTTCTCGATTCCCCCCTTCAGCCCCCATGACACGCGAAATGTCATGTTATTAGGCTCAACCATGTCATCAGCCTGGTGTTAGCGAATGACTAGTGAGTGACTATGCCACAGATAATAATTAATCCAATAACCTCTAACTGTAACGAAGATGGATCCGGATACGAACAAAACTTTAGGGCTGTTTCTACAGTTGTTAACACAAAATGCATTCATGATTAACATTTTGTTATCATAAGGCCAAAGAAATAAACTCAATTCCAGGTTTACTTAAAAATGAAACTAGTACAAACGCATAGTTGTAAACCTTCAAAAAAACAGCAGTTGCCTTTTCGTTACAACACTCTTTGATTTTAACCAGCATATGCATGTTAAAAAAATACTTGTTGTAATGTGCAGGAACCGCAATATAGCTTTTCTATATTTCATACCATAATCTAATAGTTTGGTCTTTTAAGACGATATGACTGCAAACATCAAATTATTGACTCAAATATATTGTTTGTAAAAACATCAGTATCAGACTATAGTAACATCCTTAAGAGGTAATTTCAAGTGTGTAATTTCAAGTTTATCTATTGTGTATGTTGCTTACTTCTTGGACTAGAACACACTTAGAAATTTAAAATGCTCTCGACTCCTTCCGATACAAATGAATATAAATGGTATTATTAGACGGATTGTACCAAAGTTTTCTGGCATGACTGTATCGTAGTGCTTCACCTATCCACTATATATGAGCATTTGAAAATAATACTACACGAATACCTCCCAATGTTTGGGTAAATCTTTTTTTTTGTCTGTTAAGTAAAATTTATTTCATGAAATAATTAACTCTGTAAATATGTGAAAAAGGCAAGGTCATGAAATACACCCTTATAAGAGTCCACTATACTGCTAGCATGTCAAGTCATGATAAATAAAAGCAGCTGTAACATCATAATACACTATCTTAGGAATGAATGATTGCTTCTAAAATTCATATTACTACATATGTAACTTTTCAATACACACACACACAAATGACCCAAAATAAACACACTTGCAGAACAACGTACACACAGAAGACAGATGACACAAAAAATAAACTGGATTTTAAACAATTGTATTTCTAACCATTATTATTTATACAAATTCAATAACAATTACAAATGCAGAGAAACTTTTGCAACTAAATAATAAGTTGTAATGTATAAATAGCTTTTGGTCACTGAAATATCTCAGTGGTACAAATTGAATGGTTTTAGCCACAAGTGAGAAAGTCATTTGATTTTCTTCAAAACATTACATCAAAAGAATTTATTTTTTCACAGAACAGTTCAGAACATCTGATTAAATATTTTTTATTGTTTTTTTTTTTTGATTTTTGATTTACAGCTTGATCCCACACTGTATTTTTGGTACAAGTATGGAATTTTCAGAATGGATATCGGTAGCCCAAATTTCGCAGGCCGACCATAGATATCCGGTGTGCGCCGGCAGGGGATCGAACCTCGGACCATGTGCATAGTCGGCGAGAGTCCTAACCACTGTGCCACTAGACGGTCTTCAATAAATTATCTAAAATGAGCAGTAATACCAATGACCAGTAAATTCGTACAGTAAGAACCTATGATTATTTCGATTTTTGACTACAAGTAGTTAAATTTCGACTAACATATCACGTGTCCGAATTCGCCATACAAGTTCAAGTTCATACAACTAAGTGCGATTCAGTAACTAGTACAGGCATTTATATAATTGCTGACTTTTTTTGGGGGGGGGGTGGCAACATGTAACTAGGTAAATAACATAAAGCATTTCGAAGCTTTACATATAAAGTGTTTACTTAGTCGACTTGGACAAATTACTTATGTAATAAACGATAACTGATTGATCGAATAAAACTGTAGATCACACATAAAATTTCATAAAGTAATGACAATATGAAGTTAAACACAAAAGAGTTGAAAGTGAATAATCAAGACCAAGCATGAGAGTATAAAAATACGGACAACAGATTAGTACTAACTGCTTTTTTCTAATACATCGAAAAAAATAATCTAGTAGTTAACAGCCCTGCATATGACTGATTTTCATAAGACTATTTCGCCTCAGCAACGATTTAAATGTGCGTCGGTGGCATAGTGGTTAGGACGCTCGCCGACCATGCACATGGTCCGGGGTTCGATCCCCAGCCGACGCGTTCCTTTACCTCGCTAAACCAGAAATACCAATGGTAAAGAGGAAAGGTTGGGCACGAGGCTAGCAACCCCATCCTGTAAAATAAACAGCGCTACAGAAACTTCAAGTCACTAGCTTGAAGCCCTATGTTCCACTGGAGAACGTGAAGGTAAAAAACGATTTAAATAAAACAAGAAAAAAACACAAACAAGTGAAAACGACACAGCACTTGCATCATTCAGAAACATTTACAGCTACCTCAGAAAAACGGCTACCAGTAAAGGACTACACATTATGCAATCGCCGAACATCAAATTCTAGGCATTTCAACAGTAAAACTAGACAACGTAAACACAATTCTCACTCATAGCAACTGAAGCTGCGACTCGTTATAAATTAAGCACCCGAATTCAAGCCAGTGAGGTATAGGTCCCAACCATGGTTCACCAAACCCCAGGAAATCACACAATAACACCATTTCCCCCTGTCAAACACACCTAACTGTGAGTTTTGGGTTGTTCCCTTCAAATACACACAAATGAATGAGACTAGGGTAAAAATCATTTAACAAGAAAGTAAAATTACGTTAAATTAACAATAACACTAGATTTTATCTCAAATAATCAAAGAAGTAAGAACCAAGAGCAAAATTTATCAGGTCAAGTTGCAGCTTTAAACGCCAGAAGGAGTAAAGAAATAAGAATAAAAGGCACCAAAATGAATAGGATGAAATCGGAAGAGAAACCCGCCATACATGGATCAGTAGTAGTAACAATAAAATGTTCGGACGCATTCATCCTACGTGTATGTTTAATATAACAGCGAACTACTCAATGCGCAGTACTTTTCGTCTGAAAAGTTACATCCTAACCTGAACATTATTCACTTGGTAGATTAAATGAACACATAAAATGTGAATAACTTCTTTGTGTAAGATTTATTACTTGGAGTAACTCCTCCTCTATACTCCTCACTTTTCAATGTCAGAAATGATAGAGAACATTTGTAGCTTATATAGCTACTCTCTGAGTTGCAATTTTCATTCGCACGACAGTAAACTGTAGATGACTACGCCTGTCCTCCGAAAGACACAGACAGCTAAAGACCATAAGAGAAATTCAGGCTAAAATAATGCAAACGACGACCTTTGTATACTTTTGTCTAGATTTTATTATTGACCAGTTTAAACGAATATTTCATTACCTCATGTGATAGACGATGTAGTCAATCACTTTGTTTCTTAAGTGTATACGCAGACAAGCATTAGTCAGTGTGTGCATGTACATTTGATATATTTAGATTCCCGAATGAAGCACTCATAAAACCCTTCACAATCACAACTTTCGAAAGAGATTAGTTGGAAATGGCCATTCACGAAATACACCTATTTATTGTCACCATATCTGAAAACTTATTGCAGACTTGTGTAAAAGTGAGAATTCCTATCAAACACTGACAGGAAACTTACTCCCCATATAATTAATAAAAACATGATAATAAGCTAATTTGCATATATTGATATATTGGACACCATCTCTAATCCATTTAAAGCTTTAGATAGCGAAAATAGGTTACGAAACTAAAAAACCCTATGCCAGTTAGTTGTAGTGTATTTTATTCAGTGCCGTCAAGTTCTTCTTCCGTAGCAACTGTAGCTTCGGCTTCTTCTTCATCCACAAGAAAGTTGTCACTGCTTTCCGCCTCTGCGATTCCACCTGAATTCAGAAATTCATTAGAATTTTGAGGTAACTCACTTGAAGACTGTGTTACAGAGTCTTGAGCTCTACGTGAATCAAATCTTCCACGCCGATGCAAAATAGAAATTGAGTTTCTGTCGAAGTTACTGTTCTGTGGATCACGACCTGTGCGCGTCCGATTGCGTTCACTTTCAAGTGTAAGATCCCTTAGCTGTTCATCCACAGTACGACGCAAATATCTTTCCGTAAAAGGATGAGAATAATTCCCAGTTCCAGACATAAAACACTGACTATGAACATCGTTCGGTAGAGTACAGTGACAAAACTAAAAATGGAGAAAGAAATTGACCATTTTTAAAGATAAACATAAAGTGTATGAATAACTGGAACATTTCTTTCCTGTAGTAAATATAATACAAATGACAAAAGTGAAGAAAAACAGTATTCAGTGAATAATTCTTTGAAGATCGGAATCAAGCAGATACAGAAACTACTGTTGTTTACTAAAAAGTGATCAGCTTTCCAGTGGAGCAATGTGATTAATTATGTTCATGAGAAAGTAAGATTTTCTACCTTGTCTTTAATAAATAATTTCATACAGTCACATTAAAAATATCACATCGGACTACGCGATTTATTTGTCCCTACTACCAACAATAATACCTGTTATTGTACCGAAGAATGATCTCTCAAAGACAAGACTATAATTGCATATTGTATTTGTGATTTGGAAAAACCACGTAAATCATCTGTGGTTTGTTTGTTAGACTGTTGTTAAGTCCCAACACAATGCTTTGACAACAACCTGTACATATTTGAGATTTTAAAAAGAGTATATATGACAAATGGGAACAAGATTAACCAAGTTGGTGTAACAGTAAAGCTTTTCTTCCCATCAGACAAATTAAAAGTAAACGTAATGAAGAATATCTGGACTCTATTTTTCTTTATGGTTTGGAAATCATGTCTGAACAATTTTGACTTTTCGAATATCCATTTTGTGATTTTCGAATACACAGTGAACTGGTGTTACAAATTTAATTTGCAGTTTCTGCAGTTCTATAGGATTATTTAAAATCGTTTTCTGTACCTTAAAGTCTTTCAACAGGAAAAAAAGAATTTTCCAAGACGACTTTTCGCAATAGAAACAGCCTAAAAACAACAGGTAGTTATGTTAGACCGAATATGAATTGCTTCTCATGAGGACTAATTCTATTTGGGAAAACAATAATAAAACCTTGCAAGCTTCCATATCTCGTTGACCACATGTTGCATAATTACATTGTTGCAACGTCCGTAGTTGCTTATAAAATGTAATACTGTTCATACTTCGTTTTTCTCTTAATTTCGCTTGGATGCACTTCGCCGACTGAAAACTTCAGTTTATGTGTACCATAGAAATTCACAAATAAATTCTCTCGTTTTCTATCAAGGCTATAATGAAATTGTGTTCTGTTTAAGCTTGCCGCTCGCTAAGTCTGCACCTTCATGTGTACCAAATAACAAGGAAGTTTAGTTAGGATAGTGGGAAACCTTTCTTTTGATGTACATGGTATCTTTAAGATCTAACTATTAAAATTTCAGTTGAGCTTTGACTAATCTCCACATATTATAGCTCGAAAATTAAGTCTATCCAAGAATTCCGTAGTACACGGATCAATTCCAAGTGATAGCAGGGCATCGCACTTAGCTCCACAGCCTAAGATTCACTAGTCGAGTAGACCTACGTAACATATGAAAACCACCGGGATATAACTCTGTTAATATTAGTGTCAAAATTGTTGACTTCTGACAAAATACAGAACCTGATCGATAGCTGCCACTTGGCATTATGGTCTAGTAGTATATCTCAATGATCCAAAGAGCTAGACTGGATGGGACGAATGTTCCTGCAAGTTCTACCATGTCAGAAAGGTCATCGGGATTACTGTTAGACTTGGTTTAGTTACCATCATGGTGTAAGTCACTATGTTGGGTGCCTAAGGGTGAAGTTGGACTGCTAGATAATAAGAATATAACAGCTGTTAAGTATTTCCTCCAGAAGAGGAATGGTAAGTTAGCCATACTACCTGTCTATTCTGGAGAGGGGGTACTAGAGAACTTTGGCCCAAGAAACTGTACATCCCGACTTACCCTGAGTGCTTTATAGCCGATGGTAACGTTTTCAAACAGACACAGCTCCGAAAATCATTAGCATTATGCAACACTAATGCTGTCGAAAAGAGTAGGCTAGCATTTTTAGTGGGTACGAATGTTCTGATTACGTATTTATATAACACTAATTGCTTGGACACCATCAAACACATCCTCATGAATAAGGAACTTTCTGGCTGACCGCAGAAGTTATAGGCAGACAGAAAAAGCACTTGGCCTCCTCAGCAATGACTTCAGACCCTAGAGAGGTATGATTGGAAAAGAAAGACCTATGCTGCTATTTCTGTCTAACTTTGCCATCGATGACATTCCTAATAGTATGTGCAATGATGTGAATCTGTTGATTGCAGAAATATTTTTTGACGACCAGAATTGCTTTACCGTGCTATAACATACACGTTACCCCACATAGCACTTATTTAGTTGGCAGTTAGTTTTCCACAGTGTATATCTTGCTCCATCCAAGTGAAAAGTACTGTTAGAAGATTGACAGGAGCATTTACCCATTTTTATTTGTGCTTTTATGAAGTGTGACAACTTCAACTACTGCACTTTTTTGCAAAGTCCGACGATAAAAAACCAGTTCAAGGCAGTACACATCCCTGTTTACATCTATCCCTATAAGTGAACCATTGGAAGTGGTCCATAGGTTCATTAATCTGGGTAGTCGTGTAAGTGCTAACAGTGTGACGGATGACGGACAGCTATCACTAAAACCGTGGCAACATTAGTCTGACCATTAAACGATGAGTATACATTTTTTCGGTGTGCGCAGTCCTGTTACGTATCTATGCAACCTGACATCCAAAGTGATGATGTGCAGAGATTTTAATGCTTTTGAAGAATTGCTTGCACTTAGAGGCATTATCCTGTAAGTCATTCTGCAATCTGACGATGTATATTTGGACTTCGGAGAAATTGCCTTCCAATATATGGTGCTATCTTTGGATACCATATTCGGTGGCATGCCTATGTGCTAAGAATATCATTACAGAGGCCTCTATGCTATTCACTGGGACACGCACATCAAAACTGGAGAGGTAATCAGTTCATCACGTGGTGCAGTAAGATGAAGGATAACTGTGATGAATTAGCGTCTGTTATTGCAACACGACTCCTTAGGTGAGATTAGAAAGACTGCGGCTCGACGGCCTGACGCTATTATACATGGCTCAGAACCAAAACCAATGGCGAATGTGCTGTTTCTTCTCTTTCTGAATGTAATACGAAATAATAAACACTCACAATAATGAGTAAGCTTACTTGTTTTCATTCTGTTGTTTCCTAAGTATTTTATTTCTTTTTCTCTCCCTTATACAGTTGTCCTACTATTTGTGTGGAGTATCTCTTGGTGTCCATATTGTACCAACTGTTTTAAATAATATATAATAATGAGCACCGGGATTTTAAATGCTGTAAGAGTAATGCTGTGGTTATGATCGGAAATTCTGTTCTTCTTATTAACCGGAACGATCAACAGTCTACACCAATCTAATGAAAATATCTTTGATTCTCATAAGCCTGAGATCAAACTATCGGATTCTGCTTCTTCATTGTCTTAGATTAGTCATTTGGAGGAGTGACAGAAGGCGGGCAAAGTGGATTCCATCAACATACTTGGAATTTTCGGAAATAGCTTAGCAACTGGCCTAAATAGACATTTTCACCTGGTCTGTATCACTAAGCCTACGAGCCAGAAGCAAAACACACTACCACGGAATTCTGGTTTTCCCATGGCTCGCAGGTGACATCTGGAAGAATCAATCTTTATCTTAGACTGACCATTTAAAGAGGATACTACACAAGTACCAACATAGTTTCTGTCTTCTGGCTGACTGTTTGCTAAACCTTCAGATGCAGTTATAATCGGGAGTGGCTCCAGTGAGCAAGAAAAGTAATTTGGAGAACTCTAACCCAACGAACTAATAATGGTAAGTTTTCTATAACATTCACTCTTAGCATGAGATCAAGAGAAGGAAGATAGATCCTTCCCATTACCATTTTCAATTGGAATTATTTTAAAATTGGTTGAGAAATAACAATGATTGACTGAACCTTGTAAACCAACTGCACTTTGAAACAGTATATGAAAAGGAGTAAACGGTGTTGCTTAACCTAGGGAAGATTTAAGGAGGTCGTACTGAAGATAAATAGACGTGTGATGCCATTAGCGATTACGACCAATTAACAGAGGACAAGTTATGTTACCTTCATACTCAATGGTAGGAGGATTGGGAAGATACAGTTTAAGAAGCATGCACACATATTTGTTGCCTGACATATTTTTCTTACGAAATAAACTGAGAGGCTAGTACTGAGAACTTATGCCATCGAAACACCACCTATAGTCTCTGAAGACCACTTTTCCAGACATGCACTTAATGGTTAAATTCATTAATACATTAGACAGCAGGTCTAACTAGCCACCCAAAAAATACATTATAATTTAGTGCACATATACTAGCGAACCTCGCCAGATTACTAGCTTGCTAGTTTTCCAGCCGGTCCCAAGCCTGGATAAAGAGGGAGGGTTGGGGTGTGGTGCTAGAAACTCTACCCCTGTAAAACAATCAAATCGCTACAGAAACTTCAACGAATAAATATATTAAAAATTCTAAAATCATAAACAATAACCTTATTTTTCGCTGGAATCGGGGAAGTGAAATGACGCAGGCTCTTGAAAGCCTTCAGGAAGCCAGTCAGCCGATGTGTCTTCTTTCGATGAAAGCAAAAGTAAAGATGGGTACCCGGAATGTTCGTACAATGTACGAAACTGGAAAGGCTGCCAGATACCCGCTGAAATGAGAAGGTATAGAATAGAAGTGCTGGGAATCTGCGAAAGTAGATGGAACGGAACTGGAAGGTGCCAACTACCAACTGGAGAGACAATAATCTATTCCGGCCACCCAGAGGACAACCATGAGCACACCGAGGAAGTGGCCATCATGATGTCACCAACAGCAGCCAAAGCTCTCATGCAGTGGGAACCAATCTCCTCCAGGATAATGATCGCCAGGTTCAACTCAAAAGGAAGGAAAGTTACAGTCATTCAATGCTATGCGCCTACAAACGTCTCAGAACAAGAGAAGAAGGAGGCTTTCTACCGACAACTACAAGCAACAGTGGACAACGTCCCAAATGGCGATATATCAAAATCCTGATGGGTGATAT